AGGTTTTTGGAGAGCATGATTTGGACGCGGCCCAGAAATCAATCCGGATGTTTGACACTGCCATGAAATCAAATGAGCAAGCAATCAAGAGAGGAAAGACCGATTTGACTAGGGCATGTGCAAAGCAGAAGGCAAAGCTAGAGAAACAAAGAAAGCTGGAGGAAAAGGAAAAGAAAGCCAGAGAAAAGAAGGAAGCTCGAGAGGTTATGCTTAAGGATGGGGAAGAACAGTGTGAGGATGTTGGAATCGAAACATGGAATATTTGGAAGGAGGGTAGCAGCGGCGGTAAGACAACGGGGTTCTTGTGCGTGCCGCTGGACCAACGCCTTCCAGAGTTTGGTTCATTTCCAGACCAGGCTGTTCTTCTTGAGGGCATGGACCCAAGCAAACTCAATCTTGTGGACTACAAGGGATCTTTTGATGAACCAGTGCAACGCATCCTTCCGACCTTTGACATCGAGGAGGCCTGCTCGTCCTGCACCAGACTATGTTCATGCCTGCAATCAGTGGCATGGGCTCGAGAGACTTATCTCAAGATGCCACACCACCGTACAACTTGGATGGACAAGTGCTTGCCCCAGGTTGAAATTTGAAACCTTTCAGAGTTGCATTGCACTGCTCATTGCTGTTCAAACTGCTCCCTTTACATCTAAAGTCTACATTTACCAGACCCAAGCCAAATGATACCAGCGCTCTGAGTTCCAAACGATTCTATATTCCAAAATGCTAAGCAGTGAAGTCTACAACCTAGGATCTTCACTCCAGCTTTGAGAGTGTCATCTGCAGATGACCTGCATCTTGGGCCAAGCGACATTGGCTTCCCCTACTTCCATCTAATGATTCGCGGCCAGCAGTTCTTGGTTGGTGCTCCCATCGTGAAGCTTTATGCAGCTTATAAGACGAAGTGTGGAGAGCATGCTAAAGACTTTGTTCAGCTTTGTACCTTTCTGGTTGAATCGTCGCTAGACGATTTGCAGGATGCAGGCTGCCCAATTTCATGGGTTGTTCTTGAAGAGGGTGAGATGGCTATCTTGCCTGCTGGATGGGTTTTTGCATCAGGTTGCTAGGTTGCAGCTGGAAATCTCAAGTGCAGCAAGTTGCTTTTGAATTGAAACTTGCACAGGTAATTGTTTGCTTCTCATTTGGAGCTGATGTTAGGTGCAACTTGCAACACTCCGACATTTACTGTAGGCCCGGTCATTCCGCTGCAAGACAAGAGTGCCGAGAATGCTGTCACAGCCAGCCTTCAAGGAATTTGTGGTTCCCTGGACCAGGCTCAAGAGAATCTTGTTTACAGGTTTACCGTTCCAGTTCACCAGCTTGCCTGCTTGCAATCAAGTTTATGTGGATGTTTTCTATTCACTTGACAACCCAACCACAAAGTGAAAACCGTTTTTACTTGACATTGGCAGGTCAAGCTCATCGGCGACACCGACCTTCTGCAAGTGACCAAGACACTGTGCCAACCAAAGCACATGAGCAGCCTATGGAAGAGTTGGACAGCTGGCTTCAATACACGGGACAGACTCGTTGCTTTCTCGGAAGATGCAAGCACCGAGGACCACACAGCAGCAGAACCTGGCAAACCAAAGCAGCCACAGCATCAGCAGCAGCAGCCGAACCTTCTGGCACTGGGCAATGGGGATGACAAGGACAAAGCTGCAGCGAAAGTCAAAGAAGAGGAAGAGGATGATGTGACCAGCCGCTTGACTGACGCTGCCGACCCCACGTTCAAACAGACTTTGCCGCCTGAGTTGCGGGTCTATGTTGGGCTCGATGAAACAGAAGCTATGAGTGTCTCTGATGAGGAAATGTGGGCTGCTATCAAAGCTTGCAAGAACCATAGCAAGCTGGGTGCCTATGTGAGGTACTTGATTCTTGAAGGCCATTGTGAGGAAGATTACGAGTTTGGAAATGAAGACGGAGACCCATTGGCAGACATCCTAGAGTTCATCAACTGGCTCAAAGCGTGCTATGTGTATTCAGGTGTAGAAGGTGCAAAGGATCCATCTGCACGGGCAGTTGTACCAGCATCAGCACCAGCAGCACCGGCGACAGAAGTTTCTCAGCAAGTTGTAAAGACAACACCAGCAACACCAGCAGCAGCAAACGAATCAGCCACAATGAATACAGAAGCTTCCCAGCAGAAGGCAGTCAAGACAGCGCCAACAGCAATGCCTTCAGAAGCAGCCAATTCTGCACCAGCAACACCAGCAGCCACAATGACGACGCCAGAAGTTTCTCAGGAGGAGGCAGGCAACAACACACCACCACCAGCATTGCCTGCGGCAACAGCCAATGGGCCAGCGGCAGCTAAAGCAACACCAGCACCGGAACCAGCG